TTCCCTGTTATTACAGCTTGGAACCTCAGCGTAAAAGGTCAATATTTATCTCCACCTCACACCCACATGTGCTTGTGCACACACACTCGCCGGCCTCTCCATACTAATGAAAATGAAAATAGAAATAGTGGAAAAAGTTGTGCCTGTATGTATGGGAGAATTGAAAATGCTAATTTGGAGCAGGTATAAAACTCTACATGCTGCCTTATTCCTCCTTGAGTTGTCGTATCACCTCAACACCATTCAATATCTTTTTAATTATGGCTCTCTGTAAGCAGAGGGCCCTACACTTCCATCTCTCCATGCTCAGTTTAACGTATGGGGAGATGATATCTCAGCAGGCTCCTGCGCTCACTGTTGTGTTAAGGAGTAATATATTCCTCTTAAACAGCGTGTCCTCCACATCGAGCCCTCTGGTGTCTCTCTGCTGTTGTAGCTCCCAGGAAAACCAGGTTATGCAGGATGTGGTTGAGGTTAATCCTTGGTTTACCCTCAGCTGTTACTAAAAAAACATCGGAAAAATATTAATGTAAGGCTTTTCATCTGTTATCCTTACCACTTAAGTGCATATCACTCTTGCCTCTCCCTCTCTGCTAGATCCGTCAGTGATTGCTAGAATCAATTCTCATAAAGTCAACACCCGACAGTGACGTACACGACACGGCGGACCACGCTCCAGCCCTGTGACTAATCAGTCAGCTGATAATGCAGTCGAGACGAAGGCCCCCGCGTCTCATCGGGAGACCAGAGGGTGGCGTCTCTGAGGGCAACCGGTGGGCGGTGTGCTACACTGGAACACTCGACAACAAGTTTAGGACTAATTGTCTCATTGTCTCCGTTCTGCTTGAAAGGATCAGCAGCTATGCTAAGCTCCTCGGGGTCCCAGCCCTCAGCTGCTCTCTGCCATCTTGCTTTGTCTTTGTTGTTGTTTGTGTTTGCGGAGCAGAGCCAATGTTTTCAGTGGCTTTGTTGGGTTATTTGATTTTGTTCACCTTTTCAGTCTTTTTATTTTTGTTAATGAGTTTCTCCTTTACGGCAGTGGGAGAGCCACCAGTGATCAGTGGGGCTGAAATTAGTTGGATACAATTATAAACACTAAGTGCTTTTTCATCTACTTGTTTTTATGGTTATTTAACATTTCTGTATAAAAAAGATGCAGAAATGCAGAAAATTGAAAAAAATATATATTACAGAAAAAGTTTGTATGCTTGGCTGAGCAGCAAAGCGCAATAGAAACAGAAACAGACTTGGCCATAATGTATATGAATTATATGTGGTTGAATGCAGCTTCCACTCCACGGGAGAGATGAAAAGTAAAAAACTTAAGATCTGATCATCATCTAGAGTTATGATGAAACTGTAGCTTTCCTCATTTTAACAAATAAAACAAACAGAAATATATAACATTGATTCAGTTACTTTTGCTGATTTTGGAATCCCCTGTGATAATTGTGGACACTAACAATAAAAAACTAGTAGTAGTAGGGAGTAGAAGTGGCATAAAATGGAATGGACTTGGATTACTTTCGAATTGTGCTTAGGTACAGTCTCTAAATGGTAGTTACTTTCCACCACTGACAATTTTAATCCAACAGTAAAGTTAAAAAATAAAATTCCTAAACAACCATAAACTGTATATAGAAAGGTGAGCGTAAACATCTCACTCGTGTCTTACGGTGATGTTGACTTGTTGCCATTTAGACATATTCACAGTGGTGCAGCACAGCTCAGAGTCTGCCCTGCCATGTCACTATGAATACGCGTCTCCCTGTACAGCGTTTGCTCGAGCCTATGTGGAAGTGCTTACCATCTGCAGATAATCTAGCATAGGATGTGCAGGATTTGTTGTGGCTTTGTATGTATATTCTGGGCATTTCCCAAACTGCCTCTGTGGTACAGCACGTGGTATACAGGACATTAGGTTGTCATGCAGCACCTGTTCTCTTTGTCTGCAGACATGTTGTCAACATGAAAACAAATTATACTTAAACCACAGGTTCTCCCAGCAGAGCTGATAATCTGATTAGTTTTTTGAAGCACCTTGTTGCATAACATTTGCATGATTTTAAGAGATGAGTGATGGAAACCTAGGTGGCTTGGTGTTTTTGTAAGCTTTAAAAAGGAGTTCATCTCACATGGGGATCACATGTGACTCCTGAGGCTGGAAACCTAACCACCCGTCCATCTGTGGGCATTGCATGCTAAACTTTTGCTGTGGTAGAAACACAACAAAGCCAGAGGCAGAGAGAGACAGAGCGCCTGAGACAGGAAGAGAGAGCGAGAGGAAGCTTGTAGCCCCCGAGGGCCTCAGTCCTGTCTGTCACTGTGCCAGAACGATTCGCCCTGTAACTGATCCATGGACACAGAGTCTACAGGTCAACTGTGACAGCCTGCTTGGCTTGTGTGCTTGTCTCTTATGTGGGTGTGGGAGGGTACATCAGTGCATCTGCATTCTGTCTCCCATGATGCCAGTGGCTGTCAGTCTTCATCTCCTGATGCGGAATACAGAGATGCGTGCGTAGGAAGTGTGGCATGCGGTCATTTGCCACTAATGAAATGAGATTCAGGTAGAGACGTGGCGAAGGGCATCACAGGGTGAGAGATGCACAAGAGCAATATGTTGCCGCGGCAACAGTCAATGAGACTTTGTCCATGTGAGAGTGGCTCATGTAGGGAGAGTGAGAGAGGAAGCGAGCAGAAGAGGCAGAAACAAGTGGAAGTGAAGCAGTTGCCATAGCGACTCTCCATTGCAGCTGCCTGTAAATTTCTCTCTCCCCAGTGTGTGTGTGTGTGTGTGTCTGTCTGCCTGCCTGCCTGCCTGCCTGCCTGCCTGCCTGCCTGACTGATGCACCGGTTTTAGTGTCATGGCAACTTGTGTGTGTGTGTGTGTGTGTGTGTGTGTGTGTGTGTGTGTGTGTGTGTGATGCTCTAGTGTATCTCTGGTGTTTTAAGGTGTGTTCCATGTGAAACATTTAATGCATGCCAGTCTTTCATATATATGTATCTGTGTGTGTGTGTGTCTGTGTGTGTGTGTGTGTGTGTGTGTGTGTGTGTTTAAAAAAAGAAAGCAGGTTTCAGAAGAAGCCAAACAACCTCCATCTCGCTTCCCTTCTAACAGATGTTGTTGTGGTTATTTATGTGGTTGTTCTGCACTACTGCTCGCTCATATCCCCAAGCCTACACGTGCACGCACGCACATACACACACACACACAAACACACACACACACACACACACACACACACACTCACACTTACACACAGAAGCCAACAGAGGCTGTCACTGTGCCACAGTTCTAAGTCTTGTGTGCCATATGCTACCGTAGGCTCCTGGCAGGCAGGAGTATCGAAGCTCTCGGTCAGCTGGGAGGGTGGTTCAAAGGCCAACAAGGGCCCATCAGGGACCATCCTGCATGCACACGCCGCTGAAGTAGCAGGCGTGTGTCAAAGCATCTCATCTCTGATTTTGACTGGATATATTCTGAAATCTTCTGCATGCATTTTTTAGAGAATGATGCCAGAATTGATCATTGCGTCGTCACAGTTTTAATGAATAACAATTCAGTTACTGATCAGCCTGAGCACCTCAGAAATATCCATATTTACAGGGTTTGACAGAACATTCAGGGTTTTTTTCAATAAGTAGACTGTTAAAATGATTTGACACTTTACAATCATGCAGTAGAAGAAGAGATGAATACATGAAATGTATCTAAAAAGCAGAATATTCTATATTCAAGGCAAGTTTAAGTGAAATCACTGACTTATTGTAAGAATAACAATAATCCAGGATTTATATTAGATATGGATTGAAGTACTTGCCAGATGGATTATCAGACCCAACCCTAAACCTAAAGTTGGTTATGTTTTCCAGTGACATTTTCACATGGAACTTTTCAGTTATCTTTCCATTTTTTTCCCTCAAGGCAGGATCCACTAACAATTTCTGCCAGTGCAAAATGATAGCATCCAAGAAAATGGTGTTTTCTAGAGATTCCCCACGGGGGAATTGACCTAGAAATAGGCTGATGTAGCTGTCCCTGCAGCTCAGGGCGAGTTGCAATTTGCATTTATGGGAGTTCCAAGGTGCAAAATAAAATGAGGAAATTATGGAAATTCATAGCAGACGTGATAGATTTTGAGCCAGTGGCCTTTTATCATCTTTAGATTGCACACAAAATGTTCTTCAGACATCGGCATTACTCCTTGTAGGCCTGGCTTTAATATGGCTCCTCGTGTCATACTTCTTTTTTTTTTCTACCTGTAAATTGCACTCACGGTGCCCAGTGTGTTTGCTACGTCGTCCCAGAGTGCCTTTTTACACCGTGTTAAAACATCTCTTCTTTGCAGCAGAGAGCTCTTTGGGGTGAGCTTTGACACCAACGCTTTGAGCACTCACAGCAAAAGAGCTACCATGCACATTGTTTTGTCGTCACATTTGTACATTCTCAGTTTGAACAAATTACTGGAGCCTGCCCTCATTTTAGTGCCTTAATTTAGTGAATAACCTTGCACAGGTGGGATTAATTGCATTTGGGATTACATCATTGTTGGTCTGTCTGGGCCTTAGTGTGAAATGAAGACTGTCAGAGGCAGTGATATACAGGTTAGCTTTAATATGCTACACTACCCAGTGATAGTCTCTGATCATTATTTCTTTAATCACCAGGAAACATTTGATTAGATTCTTGTAGTAGTAGTAGTAGTCTCTTTGCATTATTGCCCGTTGCGGGAATCATTGCTTGAAATCTAAATTACCTCAAGGTCATTTTTGTAAGAGCTGACATCCAGCTGCAGGGAACAGTGCAGTTCTTAGGCTCTGATACAGTTCTGTGTTTTCATCCAGCCGAGCAATTTGCTGTTTGCTCAGTATATTAAGGTCTAACACAATATGTGATCAAAGAGAATATGAGAGGCGTAAATACAGTTATTGACTTTTTTTTTCTTTTTTGCTCTCCATTCCCTGCTTTCTCCTCTTTGTGTGTGTGTGTGTGTGTGTAGATATTCGTGATCGCAGGAAGAAGCCGGTGATGCTGTTTATTCATGGAGGCTCCTACATGGAGGGCACCGGAAACATGTTTGATGCCAGCGTCCTGGCTGCCTACGGGAACGTGATTGTGGTGACCATGAACTATCGGCTTGGCGTGCTGGGTAAGTGAGCTGGGTTCCTTCTTAATGTTCAAAAAATCGCTCAGACACACGTGTAGTTTCCATAATGCTCCCATAGCAATAAGACATTCATGTTACTCTGAAGATATTAGGCGTCGTAGTAATATATTCAATTCAATCTAAGATCTTGTCATTTTTCCTTTTCACTCCCCGGCATCCCACCGAACACAAAACAGTCATTTGTGCGCACATGCAAGTCGATTTCACTCAGCAGACTCTTCATCTATTTTCTGAATTGATTAAGTCGGTGATGGATGACATCGATAGAATTCATCAATCTAATGACAACCAGTACAGGCGCTGATCATAAGAGCTTACTTTCTTATGGATCTCCCTTGTTGATTATTCCACTCTAACCACTCTGATTGTGTAATTGTTTCGCTTTTTGTAAAGGGACTGCAAACGCTCATACTTCAACCCCCTCCACCAAAAAAGCACTGTTTTTTTTTGTCACTTATATTCTTTGCACAAACAAAACAATTGTAAATCTTGAATTCAGTTTAAAAGGAGCATTTCACAGAAGTGACTTTCTGTATATAACTGCAGTATTGTCACTTTTAGATGATCTGATCTGATTTTTGTGTTTACTCTTTTTTAGATCTGTTTTGTTCTGAAATGCTCACTGATAATTTATTTCATTTAATGTTTATTTGATATGGACGGATACAGTATGAATAGAAAATTGCATAACAATTATCCAGAAATAAAACATGTTAACAGACAACAAAGTTGAACTATGTGGTACATTTTGTTGAATAGCAGAACAATTTGCCAGCTTACTCATACAGTATATGTACTAGAGCTGAAACAATTGGGAAATAAATCCAAATTCTCTAATTTCAGCTTCTGTGTATTTTGAGTTTTTTAGTCCTCCATGACAGTAAACTCAATAGCTTTGGGTTGTGGACAAAACAGGATATGAAGGATGTCAGCTCAGGCTTTAGGAAACTAAACTAATTGATGAACAGAGAAAATTATTGACATTTGAATCAATAATAAGAATAATTGTTAGTTGCAACTCTAATACATACAGATGCATGCATATACATATACACATGCGTAACTACCCTCCCCCCAACCCTACACATGACTACATGATTATGAAAATAAATTACTGTATACCAAAAAGCAAAAAAAATATTCAATTTGTTGAGCAAAATCAAATCAAACTCAACATTTTCTGTTCTACAATAATTTGTTTCACAAGTTTGTGGTGTCAATTATTACCCAGTCCTTTCACAACTTGTCATGTTACTGTATGATCATTAAAATTTAATTAGAGGAAGGTCACAAAATGCTATCAGCATTTACTTATTACAAGCAGTGAAAGTTCTGTATTTCTTTTTATTTTAGCAGTCATTATCAGGTCAGCGGGCAAATACAACCTTACACTTTAAATGGATTTTTGGTCCTGCACCACCTTTAGTCTTTCTCACCATGTGACCACCACTCTATTATTTATTTGGCTACTGAGTCCTGCATTCGACAAAGTAACTCTGACAGAAAGGCCTATGAGAGAGAATGCAGAGACAGGAGCAAGCATGCAAATCAGATACAGATCTGGCATTTTTACTAACACAGAAATGCACCTCACAATTCTTCATTTTAACTGCATGCCCTCGCCTGGCACCTCCAACCTCTAGATGTCTATTTCGCGGCTGTATAATTCATTCCACAAAGAGCAAGGACTGTAAAAAGGGAAATGCCTTTACAGAGTGCTTTGGTAGGAGAAGGCATGGTTATGATGCACTTTTGAGCTGTTACCACCAGACACAGCACAGTGAGAGAGAGGGATTTGGAAAGTAGTTAAGGTGGCTTTACAGGCCGAGTGCAGTGTAAGTATACTGTAACCTGGCTGCTCAGGTCACTGTAAGATCCTGCCGTAGCCGGCTTTGAAAAAATGAAGAGTATCATCTGTCACCTCAGCTCTCCAGCACGAGCTCGTCATTCCTTTTTCCTGAAAATACACTCCACTTCTCCTCTTTGTTACTCACCGCACTCTGTCTCGCTCCATTGAGACCAAGTAATTTAGCTTGGAGAGGAGGAACATGCCTCTAAGGAGGCAGGTGCTAACTAAAGGAAACTAAGTGCATTAGATATTTCATTAGCCGAAGAGAGAGTGAGCCGCTGGAAGCTGTTTCAAAATCTGCTGCCTCACTTTGATTTGTTTTGCTTCTTTTTTAAAGGACGTTTCTGTGTTGTTTTTTGGTGCACTTACAAGCCTTTACAGTGATGACAGATTTTCATTTGCATGTAATTACCTAAAGTGTTGGCTTTTGAATGCATCTTTATTGAGTTCATCAGCATTTTTTTTGCTACAAAAGGATAATGCAATCTAAAATGTGACTACTACTAGAGATCAATGAAGCTGCCAGGAAACCAGTGTGTGACAGGACTGTGAGTTAGTTTGATTTTATATTCCAGTTCCCTTCCTGAGCAGTGGTAAGGAATTAAAGGATAATTTTGTATTTTTTTCTAAACTGGCTCTTATTGCTGTAGATGTCAGTCATCTGAAACATTTTATACAAAGTCCCAGTTTAGCCAAACTTGTTTGAAAAACTGCTTATTGGTCTTACCGTAGGTGGTCACTCACACAGTGTTCCTCTACAATGAGGGAATCATTATCAACGTCTGGGTGTGTTTCTGCCTTCAAATGAAGTGGTTTTCAAAATTCTGGCTAAACTGTTGGCTTGTTTCCAACCTGTCAGACTGCATGTGTTTCTTGCCTCATTGGGCTTCATTATAATGGTGCTGAGCTCCTGTATCTAGGAATTACTTTGGTGAGTTATTATGACTGATAGAAGTCATGGCCAAAAATAAGACCCTCGAAACAAAGTGCAATTTTCCTTTGATTTAAATTTGTTCTGTTTATTATCACATCAGTTGATTATCTAATTAATTTGTGACACTTGCTAATTGCAGCAAAATAAGCTTGATAATAAGTCTTATGGCGCAACTCAGTCACTCTGAACTTGGTAGTGGAGTCTTTTTATCCCAGCTTGAGCCTAGTACGTACAGTTTTAGATAGCCAAAAATAATCCTGTTCAGAAGGAGTCCAAATAAGTGGATTACTAACAGAAGTTTAGTTTTCAAAGAGGATAAAATGAGTCGGGAGTATCAGCAGCTACTCCTTTACTGAATTTGATTCAACTAAGAAACAAGATAAAAGCTAAAGTATTAGATTTTCTTAGATTATTGCTGTCACTGTTGTCTGTCACTGGATGTGCATTAGGTAGGACTGGATCTTACTTATCTCCTCCTGTGAAGTTGTAAATTCCATCTCAGTATCTTTACATGTCTCTATTCGGTAGTCTGGTGGCATCTGTTGCATTTTCTTCTTTCAGCCCCCGATCTGTGACACTTTCATCGCTTTCTTTGAGTCAAGGAGAAAGCAAATTGAGAGAGAGACTATGTCATTTGTATGCAAAGAGAAAGCTGCATCTATCTCCCAAATATGAGAGCCATCCAGTGCAATTTGGCTATCATTGGGAGAAATGTGAGTAATCTTTCGCCCCATGCATCCTATATGATGGATGGCATTTTCCTTTGACAGAGAGACACACACAGAGAAGCCAGTATGAGGGTTAGAAATGCGCATTTGTGTGTTTAGAGGTGGTGTGCGTCGAGCACGTGTAGCTGCATGCATTCATGCATATCAATGTCTGCTCTGTGGATACACTGCGAAGGGTCCTACTGTGTTTGTGTTCTTGCTTCAGCAATCTGACATGCTGATTTGGAAGGGCAATACAGGAATTATTGATACAGGAGCTGGATGTGGTCATGTGAAATGCAAACTCGACACTGCCTGCCTGCCAGACAGAAATGGTTATCTTTGCATGAGATCTTCAATTTGTGTCAGAACCCTACTGCACATATTGGATGTTTTATATGTGTTTGTAAATAGATTGATATAGGTTTTTTTTTACAGCCTCAGTCAGCATTGCAAAAGTTATATTTTGAGCTTGTGGTTTACTAGGCCTGCTACAAATTACTGTGAGGGTTGCAAAGTTTTGCATCGCCGTATGTTTTCAATTTAGCAGGGCATTTAATAACCCTGATCATATAAATGATTACAGCTGGAGTTAATTTGAATTCACCGCTGCTAATTAAGACTTAGAGGTTGCCTTTTAAAATGTGTCTTGCCCATACTGTATCTGGAAAGCAATAGACTGCAAAAGAAAGTGCAAGTCCTGTGCTACTGGACTAGTTGTAGAAACTAATAAACATATTTCAGGGCTCTAATCAAGCCAGTTCATTCCTAATTGCTGGTCCCAAGCCTGAATAAATGGGGAGGGTTGCTTCAAGAAGGGCACCCAGAGTGAAAAGCCTTTGCCAAATCAAATATGCAGATCATCAGATCTCCATGCCAGGATGGGTGGGGCCCGGTCTGCAACTGCTATGGAGAGCAGCCAAAGGGGAAGAAGAGTCACGTATTCTTCACACAAGAAGGACGGTTATTTGAACAGAAAATACTAGCTAAACTAGATTTAAACAATATATAAGAAAATGTAATAAGAAGTCTAAAGCCAGGCAGGTCAAAATGCAAGACCACTATATTGATAAAGAACAACATGTTGGCTGAAGTGGGGGTTTTACTTGAGTCTTTTGGTTTAGGGGAAGTCAGTCTAACCAGAGCCAATCAAATCGCTTGATTGGCTCATAATAAACTACAGTGTCCATGTTCATGCATTACAGGAACAACGGTCTCTTAAAGTAAGAAAAAATATAAAATATCTTCATGTGTATCATATAAATGACCTCACTGTGGAGTCAAATTAGAGAACATCTCCTTTGTATGACAAAATATCCTCGATGCAATGTGAATTCTGCAATAACTGAAATGGGTTATAGGTTGATGCAATTAAAGGGAAGCTTATTTTTGTGTGAGCACATCCTCAATTTGATGTGACCTTCACTTCACAGAATGTAGAGTGACTCAGAGTATGTGCACACTGCAGAGTTTATTGAAGGAATTTAAACAT